ATGTTTATGGGCAACTGAAATAACACTTCTAAAGATCAATTATATATTTTATGCATTGGCATAATCTTTGTTCCTAACAATTCAGAGATAACCAGGTATATCAGTCTAACAACTGAGAAACCTAATTTGGCTTTCATAAATACAAGTGGATATTTACCACTGAAGAGAAGATTGACTCAAATAAGTTTTTGGCTCTTCTCAGGAAGATCATACTTTACAAAAAGGTTGTGATTTTCCAAACGGTAGTACATGCCAATTAATCTCCAAAAGATCAGGGTTCCAAAAGGCTTTGGAGATTCTGGTTTTCCAAAAGGTTATGATCTCAAAGGTTATCCTTTTCCCAAAACATGTAAGGTTCAAAATGTTGTTGGGTTGTACATCAAGACAGCTTAGTCCATAATGATGGATGACAAAGGCTTCAGTTCAACAACATCTGGAAGTCAACACATGAAACACAGAAACCCATTCAGCCATGAAGTTCCCCAGGTGGCTGTATAGCCAGTCAACATCTTTCAGCCTAAGCCATCTCACAGACCTGTTGGGAAGATAAAATGGTGGTGAGAGGAAGGCGGGCAGGATAAAAATGCAGTCAATCTGACTGACTCTTGCCCCTTGGGGCAGAATGAGGATAGTCCAATTACAGCTTTCAAAACAGATTCGCCGATACAATTCCTGATAGAATGGAGGAGGCATGAAAGAGCTGCTTGTCCTGAGGAAAGCTGGTGTTGCAGAAAATGTATTTAGCAGGCAGCTCTTTTCCTGTAGAGGGAACTATGGAAAGCCTGGAGGAAGTACAGTTGGTGAATGAGTCAAAGCCTGACCTAACCTCTGTGCAATACTCCCACAGGTCCATGGATAGCATGATATCATGTCTGCATGCAACCAGTGAGAAAAAGGGATAGCTTGTGTATGTGTGTATGTTTCCATCTGTCTACTTCTCTATCTAAGGGGTAACAGTCCTGCTACTTTGCACTCTTTCTACTCATCTCAGCATACATACCAGCATAGGAGGAAACAGTGCAGAGTCTCCAAAGAACTAAACAGCACCCAGAAAATTACACTGTATATAAAATAGCAATTTTATTTTGAGGAAATAATGACATTGTTGGGATATGCTATTTGAATGTGTGGCTAGATGAGCACTTACTTGGTGGAGATGTACTGAAATACATTCCACGTAGATTCCTCTGAACCTAAAAAAACCCACACCTTTTTTTCAGAGTGGTTGTACTATGTATAGGAAGATGTGCTGCTCAGTGCAATCATTGCAAAACTATCCATTGGTATATCTGCACAATCTTTTAAAAAGTAGTTTATTCTGTCTTGTATTGTCAAAGGCTTTCATGGCTGGAATCACTGGGTTGCTGCCATACAGCCTGAAAAATTCTCAGCAACCTATTTTATTCATTCTTGTATTGTGCTAGGTTTTTAAAGCAAAATAATTTGTAGTTGTAGAATCCTGCCTGATCTTGGAAGCTAAGCATGTCAGTCATGATTTCAGTGGGAGACAGCCAACAAATACATAGGCCAGGGGTCCCCAAACTTTTTAAACAGAGGGCCAGGTCATAGTCCCTCAAACTGGATTATAATTTGAAAAAAAAAAAAGAATTAATTCCTATGCACACTGCACATATGTTATTTGTGGTGCAAAACCACTTAAAAACAATACAATAATTAAAATGAAGAACAATTTTAACAAGTATAAACTTATTAGTATTTCAATAGGAAGTGTGAGCCTGCTTTTGGCTGATGAAAAGGATTGCTGTTGTTGTTGTTGTTGTTGTGTGCTTTCAAGTAATTTCAGACTTAAGTTGACCCTGAGCAAGGGCCGGGTAAAAGACCTTGGAGGGCCGCATCCGGCCCCCGGGCCTTAGTTTGAGGACCCCTGACATAGGCTATCTTTTAGAAGAAGGAACTGGCAAAGAAACTTCTTGCCTAAGAAAATCCAATGAAATTCATGGCATCACAATAACTGAACAAGCAACTTGAAGGCACACACATGCACACACTTTGTAGTTATTCCTTTTGTCTTTCAAAGTAACAAACTGCACTACTTATTGCATTGTGTAATACTTCTGCTTTATTTTTTATTACATTAATCCCAAACACAAAATATGGTAAATGCAACACCTATGAAGCTGATGCTGGGGCAGTATTCACCCCTCCAAAAGTTTCATGACCATTTTAATCAATGGACCAATGCCAATGACATGTGTGGCATTAAATGTTAGCCTTAAGGACAAAGACATTATTTCAAGGCTTCCAGTTTTGGAAGGAAGGAGAATGGATGGAACCTGGGGTATGTAGTCTTTTGTTGTTTATTCGTTCAGTCGCTTCCGACTCTTCATAACCTCATGGACCAGCCCATGCCAGAGCTTCCTGTCAGCCGTCACCACCCCCAGCTCCTTCAGAGTCAAGCCAGTCACTTCAAGGATCCCGTCCATCCATCCATCTTGTCCTTGATTGGCTCCCTCTTTCTTTTTCCTTCCATTTCCCCCCAGCATCATTGTCTTTTCTAAGCTTTCCTGTCTCTCATGATGTGGCCAAAGTACTTCATCTTTGCCTCTAATAGCCTTCCCTTCAATGAGCAGTTGAGCTTTATTTCCTGAAGTATGGACCGGTTGGATCTTCTCGTAGTCTAGGCCAAGACTAATAAAAAGCCTCAGCTGAATTCCAGCCCTTGTTGGAGCAAGATAGAATCATTGAGTTGGAAGAGACCCTGTGGGCCATCCATTCCAACCCCCTGCCAAGAAGCAGGACAATTGCATTCAAAGTGCCCCTGACAGGTGGTCATCCAGGCTCTAGGAATTGTGGGAGTTGAAGTTCAAAACACCAAGAGGGCCAAAGTTTGCCCATACCTGTCTTAGAAGCTCATCGCACTAGAGAATGAAGTTTGTTCTGGAATTTGTAGTTTGGGGAGGAGGCTTTAACAGCCTCACTAACCTACAAAACTCACAATTCTGCGGGAGCCAGCAACTGGATTTAAAGTGGATCCATTCTCTAGTGTGATTAAGTGGTTAGACCTACTGCCTTCACAGTCATGTCTGGTATAGATGTAATTTATAGTCTTTTTGGTGCTTGTTCAGAAATTCTGAATGGTCCCCTTCTTGCTCAATTAGTATGCAAGTGCCTTTTTATTTCAATAGGCTTTGAGAAACTTTAAAAAATAAATAAAGTGCTTTTAATAAGATTCTCTGTGTATGTATCTGCTTTAATTTGCTTTTGACTTGAGGCAACCCCATGAATTTTGAGATTTATTTTTATAATGAATTTTATATATTTTAATGTTCTCAATTCTCTTTTTAATTACACCTTTTTGTATATTATACCTATGATGTATTTGTCTTATTTTTTTAGTTTTCATGAGTCATGGTTTTGGAAAGAAATGTGGGATATCAATAAAGTTTTGAAATGTATAAGAATATGCCATGGAATACTTTCACACTACACAAACATGATGCCACAGTTCCACTTCAATTGCTATGGCTATTTTCCTATGGAATTTGGGATTTGTTGTTTGATGAGGCAAGGACCCTGGCTGGGAATTCTAAATATCCCTCCCTAAACTGCAAATCACAGGATCCCACTGTATGGAAACTTGGCAATTAATGTTGAATCATGGTGCTATTATTTTGTAGTCTGCAATCGCCCTCAATGTAAATGGAGGCTACTTTTGCTACTATTGTGGAGAACCAATACAATATTGCCATAGCCTAAGCCAGCGTTTCTCAACCTGGGGGTCGGGACCCCTGGGGGGGGGGTCCTGAGGGGGTTTCAGAGGGGTCACCAAAGACCATCAGAAATCACAGTATTTTCTATTGGTCCTGGGGGTTCTGTGTGGAAGGTTTGGTCCAATGCTATCATTGGTGAGGTTCAGAATATTCTTTGATTGTAGGTGAACTATAAATCCCAGCAACTACACCTCCCAAATGTCAAAGTCTATTTTTCCCAAACTCCACCACCACATCTGGACATATTGAGTATTCGTGTCAAGTTTGGTCCAGATTCATCATTGTTTGAGTCCCCAGTGTTCTCTGCATGTAGGCGAACTACAACTCTAAAACTCAAGGTCAATGTCTACCAAACACTTCTAGTATTTTGTGTTGGTCGTGGGAGTTCTGTATGCCAACTTTGGTTCAATTCCATCGTTGGGGGAGTTCAGAATGCTCTTTGATTGTAGGTGAACCATACATCCCAGCAACTACAACTCCCAAAGGACAAAATCAATCCCCCCAACGCCATCAGTATTCAAATTTGGGTGTATAGGGTATTTGTGCCAAATTTGGTCCAGTGAATGAAAATACATCCTGCATATCAGATATTTACATGGCGATTCATAACAATAGCAAAATTACAGTTATGAAGTAGCAACGAAAATCATTGTATGGCTGGGGGTCACCAGAACATGAGGGGCTGTATTAAGGAGTCATGGCACCGGGATTGTGGCGCAGCTGGCTGAGTGTCAGCTGCATTAAGATCACTCTGACCAAAAGGTCATGAGTTCGAAGCCAGCCTGGGCTGGAGTGGGTGTTCAGCCATTGTGTAGCCCGTTGTCGACCTTTGCAACCCGAAAGACAGTTGCATCTGGCAAGTAGGAAAATAAGGTACCACCTTGTGTGGGAGGCTAAATTTAACTAATTTATGAGGCCATAAAGAAAAAGACTCCGGGGAATGTGGAATGCGGAAGAACTTCATCGGTGTCGTTGATGGACGATGAAAAGCAGCAGCTCCCCTGGCGGCCAGAAAAAAAAGTTAAATAGCCTTTGTCTGTTAAATGTTGTTTGTCAAACTGGCATTGAATGTTTGCCATATATGTGTTTACTGTAATCCGCCCTGAGTCCCCTGCGGGGTGAGAAGGGCGGAATATAAGAACTGTAAATAAATAAATAAATAAAATGGCATTAGGAAGGTTGAGAACCACTGTCCTAAGCAATCATATCTAAAACCATGCCTCCTTGGCTAAAGCAGCTAATGTCATCTCGTTTTCCTTTACTTTCTAGAGCTGCAGACTTGTTAACCAGGAATTATGTCCATGAAATTGACATTTGTCTCCCCATCTGATGGGGGAAGAATCAACAGGAGCTGTTCCTTTGCCGGATTCAGCAATGCCCACAACCGAAAGCTAACGTGAGTTGTAGAGTGATGGATCACAAGCTCCTTTTCCATTTCTGTTCCTCTGGGTGGCTTGGGAGCCAAATGAAATGTGGGATCATAAGTCCATGAATGAATAAATTAATACTTAATTTAATTTTAATCATCTGTTTAAAAGTGACAACCCCTTCCAGATGTGTATTGGGGACCATGGGTGGGGGAGTGAATTCTTTCTGCTGTGCTGTCTTCTTGATATCTCTTGAACTATTCTCCTTCACTTTTAAGTAGGCAAAAACATAAGTTATGAAAATTTAATTCCTAGTCCTATTTCATACAGCTTTGCAAAGATTTATGGAGAGGACACTGATGGCAGGGAGCTAGAAGCAGCAACAATGGGAACATGGGCACAGGACGTTATCCCACTAGCGTTGTAGAATGGAGGCCAATAATCTGATCTGGTCTTGCAGAATTCTGGGAAATGTAGTTTAGGAAAGCCGAAGACCTCTCTAGCTGAGGCTCTACCCTAACTACATTTCCCAGAATTCTGCAGGAGCAACTTTGATGATTGGCAGACAACAGCCTCCCATTCTATAATGCTGGTGGGAAAACGAGAGCAATCATTTCCCCTATCCTTGTGCTCAGAGCCCCCGGTAGCGCAGTGGGTTGAACTGCTGCACTGACCAAAAGGTCCAGAAGGTCGATGGTTCAAATCTGGGGAGTGAGGTGAGCCCCCATTGTTATGCCCAGCTTCTGCCAACCTAGCAGTTCAAAAACATGCAAATGTGAGATCAATAGGTAACGCTTCTGCAGAGAGGTAATAGTCATGCTGCCCACATGACCTTGAAGGTGTCTACGGAACACGCTGGCTCTTTGGCTTAGAAATTAAGATGTGCACCAACCCCCCAGAGTTGGACACAACTGGACTTAATGTCAGGGGAAAACCCTTACCTTGACCTTATCCTTGTGCTCATCAGCACAGGGAAAAGGTGATAGCAGTGATGCTTCATGTAGACAGCAAACTAGTCCAAATTGGACCTGATCCAGAGGTCCACACTAGTCCAAAGCACTAGGATACTCTGAAGTTTCAAGCAGATTCCAAAGCATCCCTTGAACTCTGTGGCTAAAATTTACCTGGTTTAATCTATGATATTCCCTGGAAGTGGTGAAATGCTGCAATGTCAGCCAGAGCGAGTCTGGGTTTTCATGCCTATATACAGATGAGCCCTGAATTAGCGCCTGGACTTTTAACAAAATTCCAAACAAATGTGTAAGCTGGATGGAATAAAACATCCAAAACATTGAAGATTGTGGAAATTGGTACAGGTTTTTAAATCTTTAGGATGGTTTCTGCATCCAGTGGAGAAAGAGAAAAGCCACTGCTTGGTGAGAAGTTTGTTCTCTTAGCACTGTGCAGAATTGACACAAATTACTTTTGGGTCTACAACTTCCCAATCCTCTAACTATCCTATCCTGTGGCCCTTTTGTGGTTTAATCAAGAAGCTGAAGTATGGCAGACATATAGCAACAGATTTCAGCAAAATTTGTTCCCAGCATTAGCATACCCTCCAGTAACTCACAGGTGAAACCTGAGACATGGGTATCTAGACTACATCAGAGAATGATCAAGATAAGTGGTTCTCAACCTGGTGTCCCCAGATGTTTTTGGCTTTCAACTCCCAGAAATCCTAACAGCTGGTAAACTGGCTGGGATTTCTGGGAGTTGTAGGCCAAAAACATCTGGGGAACCCAGGTTGAGAACCACTGATCAAGATGATAAACACAAAGCAGAAGAGGCTGCAGAAGTTTGCTTTTGCCTTTAGAGAAGGGCAAGATCCCCTCCCCATTCCCTTCTACATTGCCATATAAAATCCAGATTATCTGCTTTGAACTGAATTATATGGCAATGTAGACTAAAATAATCCAATTCAAATCAGATAATGTGGATTTTCTACTTTGATAACCTGGATCGTCTGGCAGTGTAGAAGGGGCCTCAGTTAATCTCTAAGGTGCTGTAAAATCAGTTTAAATGTTTTCATCTCACACCGAAAAGTAAACAAAGACAATGGCAATCAAACTGTTTGGGAGGTGTTTGACATTTGAGTGTGAATAACTGAATCAAAATCCTCCCTTGATTTGGACAATAGCAAACACTCAATCGTTAGGGGCCTCTGGAATAGATTTAAATCATGGCACAGATTCAAGGGGGAGAAAAAGGGGTGGGTTATTGTCCACTGATGGAGTACCTCAGAAAAGATGATAGATATTGTTGCAAGGTTTTCAAAATCGCATTAAGGGACAACTGAAACTCATGATATGCAGGGGATGATGACCAGGAAGTAGCAATTAATACATTTTTTCTTTACCTAAATACCAACCAAAGTTATTGATTTTGATTAATTTAACCACTTTGCACCAACATATTGGCTACATCCCTAAAGTATATGATGCACATATTTCTATTACTATAAAGTAACCCCACTCCAAAATAGGAGATTTCTTGGCATTTTGTTGGAAAAGCTTTCCAACCCTCAAATAGGGGATTTCTCTGATAGTAAGAAAGATTACTAGTCCTATAAGGGATGAGATTTTCAACCCTCAAATTAGGGGTATCCTTTGTGATTGGACAAGATACATAGACTATGAACCACTGATGGGGAGAAGGTAGTCCCTTGGGCTTCTTTCACACATACCCCCAATGGACATCCTCTAATATGTGTTGATTTCCACATCCATTAAAATCTGAACAATATCCAACTGCCAAAAAAGACATTTAAGTGATGAGCTGCTGATAGACATAACTCTGAAAGTGGATGAGAAAGAGAGAGAAAAATAAAGTAGTGAATTGAATGAACAGATTGGAGCCTCAATGAAGTATATAGTGGGAGTTCTTACAGGGAAGGACAAGATCAGGGAAAGAAGTCAAACAGCTGTTTTTAGGCCCAGAGCACCTCCAGCAGGGTAAAAATGCTAGGAAAGAAGGGAGTTTACATTTCCCTGAAGGTTATTCAGTTACTTTCAGCTGTAAAGCCTTTAAACACACACATACACAATAAAGTCTTTGTATAGTTTGGGAGGTGAGTGTGGAGAATTTGTGCCAGAATTAGGCTTCAGAACTTCCAGAAAACAGATGCTGTTATTATTTATGGTTCTTGCATTGATTTTAGATAAAGTTCTTTATACGGATGTCAAACTGCAAGGACCCTAACTTTCTGCAAGATGTTTAAGCCACATTCCAAAATAGTATTAAATGCTTCAGATAATTGAAACTAATAATGTGGAGCTGGATTTGGGGGGGAGGGGGTCATAGTTCTTTTAGATGTAGGTAAAGGTAAAGGTTTTCCCCTAACATTAAGTCCAGGTGTGTCCGACTCTGGAGGTTGGTGCGCATCTCCATTTCTAAGTCCAAGAGCTGGCATCCGTAGACACCTCCAAGGTCATGTGGCCAGCATGACTGCATGGAGCACCGTTACCTTACTGCCGGAGCAGTACCTATTGATCTACTCACATTTGCATGTTTTCGAACTGCTAGGTTGGCAGAAGCTGGGGCTAACAGTGGGAGCTCATCCCGCTCCCTGGATTCAAACTGGTGACCTTTCAGTCATCAAGTTCAGCAGCTCAGTGGTTTAACCCACTGCACCACTGGAGGACTTTTCATTTATTGGATTGTCTTTTTATACTGTCCTCAAACTTCACCTGCCTCCCAATCCCTCTTAACTTTAACACTAGAGGATAATAAATGCATATTTCCATCAATTTCCATAGCCAATTCAATTCAAAGATATAGCTATACAAGATATATCTATGATATAGATATAGATGCTTATAAGCATCTGTTGTGTGTTTGGTATGCTTTCGTGCTTTGGAAATATTACAAGATGACATGACTTAATGACAAATATGAAAATACTTGATAAAGTGGAAGTCAGCAGGAAAAGAGAAAGATCACATTACTTTTGAATGTATTCAAGCAAGGAAGTTATAGTTTGTAGGCCCTATAGATTACCAAAGGTCTCTCAGTCATAGAGTTGTCATATATTGAGGTTGATATCTATCTATCTATCTATCTATCTATCTATCTATCTATCTATCTATCTATCTATCTATCTATCCATGTATGGGCTTTCATGCATAGTTTCTCTCCTGGATCAGAGCAATTGGGTTGTTTGCTTTCAAAGTTAGTTTGAAGGCAGATTCAGTGTGTTAGATCCAACCATAACCATATCCAACTGATTAAATCCTCTTAATCTGAGTATTTTAAATCTAACTATTAGTCATAGCGGGAGCAGACGCATTTAGTCAATGGAACTTATTGACTTACCAAAGCCCTGTCAGATCAATGGATCTCATTGCCCTGGTTTTAGACTCTTTCTGAAAGTGTGAGCAATCGGACCTCATCACACTAGAGATGAATCCACTTTAACTCTGGTTGCTGCCTCCAGCAGAATTCTGGGATTTGTAGTTTAGGAAAGAGCCTTTAACAGCCTCACTAAACTACAAACCACAGAATTCTGCAATAGGCAGAAACCAGATTTAAAGTGGATTCATTATCTAATGTGATTAAATAGTTGTGAGATTCAGCTTCTCCATGGTGTACACTAGATTCTGGAAAGGTAGTTTTTGAACTAAGACTCCCAGAATCTCACAACTATTACCCATATTAGTTGATAGATTTGGAGACTTGTAGTCTAAAAAACTTACTTATCTGATGCCTGAATTGAATTGAGCTTTTCAACAAAGACCTCTCCTCAGCAGATCAAGTCTTGCCTTACCTCCTAAAACAGAATCTGAAGAGTTCCAAAAATGACCTCTTCAAACTGGGCAACAAGATGAGATGTACTGTAAGTTGTGGCTAAATGATATTAAATGGGGCAAAAATCCCAACCACATAAAAGCCTGACTTTGAAATCTTAAAGGATCAGAGCTAACTCACAAAAAAGATCAGTTTTCAGATGGGAGTGAAAAAGACAACCTGTGTGTTGGGAGTGACTGGAGAAAGGATTTGAAAATCAAACTGTCGGCAACACAACACTGTTACA